AATGAACCTAGTTAAAACCTGGAAAATTTGCCCATTTTCAGGCAAAGGTTTAAATTTAACATAAAGGCTTTAGCACCCTTGCCAAATGCTGAAAGCCATAAGAAAGCTTTTTCTCCCTAGGGCAGGGGTAGGAAAACGTTTGGCCCTCAACCCATTTCTTAAGTCATCCACAAATTGTGACCTCCAACTTGGGTAACTGTCAAATTTATGGCAATGTAGTTTCCTCATTGATGTTTAAATGATATTGAAGGAGATAAAGAGTGCTAAGACTCTGATAAGCTTAGAACCTTTTTTTAAAAAAAGCTACTTAATCCATTAAGTAGTGAAGTTAGAAACTCCAGCCTCATTTCCAGGGATGCCACTGCCTTGTCATCTTGAGACCTTGGTTTTGCCCAATTTTTTTTTTTAAATGGCTTCAAGGCATAAAGATTGTCTGCCTGGCTCCAGCCCAATCATAAGGGAACAGTAGTAGTGACATGCATTTGATCTTCTAACCCAGTGTTTCTCAACCTTGACAATTTTAAGGCATGTGGACTTCAACTCCCAGAATTCCACAGCCAGCAATGCTGGCTGTGGAATTCTGGGAGTTGAAGTCCACATGCCTTAAAATTGTCAAGGTTGAGAAACACTGTTCTAACCTCAGGAGTTCCTTACACAGCAGGATTGTGTAATTACTTGCAGCTCAGTAGTTCCCAAGTATGAAATCTACCTGCCAACCCACTATTTTCATGTATTTATAAGAGGTATATCCCCTTCAGCAGTAAAATAGCATTCCCTCCTCCAATCCTCCTCTGCAATACCTCATGAGAAAGGCAAAAGAATAGCAACAGGTCCAAAGTAATCCCAACAGTTGGACCTGAACATGAATGTTAAGTATCACATCACACTAGATTACTGAATGTCACTTTTGGCTTCTGAACCTATACTAACTTGGGTTAAATACAAACAATTGCTATAGAAACAGAGTAAAAGGGAGAAGGTAAAGAAAATATCATATGAGGATCATTCAAATATTTATCAGGATGATCCATGATATAGGAATGACTGCAGCTGTGGTTAGATCCCTCTTTTGGGACATTTCAGTTTTATTAAACAAATATTGTTGAACAAACACAATGCCAAGAAGACAACAATCATGATACACAAAACACTATACAACTGACTACAGTTCTAAAGAATTGCAAGAGCGCTTCTTCTGTTCAGATGTGGTTGTTTTTTTAATATGACAATGAAATAAGAGATGTTCAAAAAATGGCAACTGTACCAAGCATAAAAGAAAAAACCTGGGGTATCTTAATATTTTTATTGTTACGGCATTTGATTTGGAGGAACAGAAGTTTATTGCAATAGATGCCATTTTTATATAAATTACACAAATAGGTCCTAACTTCATGGAGTAAATCCAGAGACAGACTTCAGTTATTATTGCACTTTCTCTTCCCCCACTAATCCTCTGCAGTAGTGCTCTAGAATGCCCCCAGATTCAGAACACAAAGGGGAGAGGAACTACATATACCAATGGAATGGACACCTTAATGTTCAACAAATTTCAGTCCGGGCATCTCCTTTTGCTACTTAGTTATTGGAAGATGGGAATCTAATCTCAACATCATAAATGTCCTGGGAATTTGAAGGATTGTGGCTATAAAATCAGACACACACTGAAATATGACCAATACAGCCAGTTCCAATGATGAATTATGCTAAATGAGAAGCCTGGCCAATTCTTTCCAGCAGTTATAGAAATGTGCAATTAAGCAGTACAAATTCTCATTAAAAGTTGATGAATGTACTTTTCCCAAATAACTTCAGTGAAGTTAAAAGACTATCTAAGAATGCTTGTGATGTTCTATCACTGTTCAACAACATCTCCTTAGGCTTCATGGTTCCTCACTTTCAAATTAAATAGAGGAAAAGAATATGAGGGAACTTCAATCTTGGGATGGTTAGATGGGTTAGTAGTAATCCTATTATCATTACTGAGGGTGGAATTGACATTAAGAAAGTTTGGAAACTTTTTCCACTAGAAAGGAATCTTTTCTGCATAGGGATTTTTGCAGAATTTGATGTTAGTTACCTAATTTGGATAATAAGGTGTCTGCCAGAAAACAACCAAGCTCAGAGAGCACCAAGGACTCATTTCAGCTCTGAGGTACAAACATTCTCCTTTTATTTATTGCCCATTTCTAAATAGGGGGGACAAAAGTTACAGTGAATGCAAGATAATTTCAGAACCTTTACTTTCGACAGAATTGGAAAAGATAACAGCAAATGCAATAGGGCCAGAATGGGTGGTGTGGTAGAACAAAGAATGGCAAAGGTAACAGCCGGCATTTCCCAGTCACACGATGACACGTTCTTTCACATTTGGCAGATTCCTCCAAACAATTAACTCTGTGGGTTAATTGGAGAGAACACTTGTAGTTTCCAAGAGAGGAAAAAAAATCTAGGAAAAATCACTGAGCTCTACAAAAGCTCTGCCATTTGTAATATTTTGCCATTCATTTTGGAAGACAGTTTCCTAGTAAGCCCAGTGAAAACCAATTGGCTGGAACCATGAGTCACAAAATTGCATCCCTCTGTTTCCTCTGATCCTTGTGGCATTTTCCCAATGAGAGGCTGAGAAAAGTGTTGTGAGAGTGCATTGTGTCTTCAGAAAATGATACATCATTCCATATCATTAATACATCCTTGGGAAGTTCAGGTATGAATTCAGTGAATTGTTCTGCTGAAGTACAGGTTTCATCCAAACTAACCAGTTTAATTTATGCCGATCCACTTTGCAGCTGCACAGTAGAACCTATAAGTGGGGCAATACTGAAGTAGATTTAGTTAAAAATGATTGCTGTATTCAACCCCATTATATGCTAGCATCACTTCACAGTAAACAGAAGGGATAGGGCAAAAGCTGGGAGAATGTAATTTACTATTCAGTTTATTAATCTAGTTCAAATGACAACTTTGGAACTTCTATAACAAGGAACAAAATTTCTGTACATTTTATCAACTAAGTTAATTTATTTAAAAGACAAATTTGAACTCCTAAAATTCTTGTTAAAACACTAGAAGTGCACTTAGAATACAAGGGGAGGGGGAAGTACTTTCAAGGATTAGGAAATCTTGCTGCTGTGAATTCCGCAAGTGACTGGCAGAAACGTTTCTACTTGCTCAAATACTGAAAGACAATGGCCTGGACCCAAGGAGCTCACATGCATGCAGAAGGCACTTTGGGACATCTACATATGGTCAGCTTTCCCTTCTGGCTCCTTCAGGGGTCATTCCAAGATGGGGAGGAGCGCACAAAGGTCAGCTGTTGGAAGAGGTAACTTGAAAAAGCCCATGATAAACCCAGGCACTCTTTATTTCTTGGACAACCTCACCAGAACAATCACTAAATGATCCAGTGGAAACTCCCAAAATCCTAGCCACCAAAGACTTATTAGTCCGTGCTGAAGCATAAATTAAGCAGTTCTTTCTAGAAGGCAGCATGAACAGTTGGCAGTTAAATCAAGACACCCATGCCAGATATGCTATGTCATTATTGGCTCTAGGCCATCAGCTAAATTTAAAGGAATCATCTTCCAGAAGGTCTTTCTCACACATTTAAGCTTCAGATCAATACCACATGACTCCTGAGCCAAATGTGTATGAATCAATCTTTTTCTGGTCAATGTACACTCAAGGTCAGCATCACATCTACTTAGTGCAAAAAGCTGCCATTGAATGCATTTAATTATATAACAAAAGCATCCATTATCTAGCTGGGGTCTTACATGTATTTGCCACTGATGGGCATTGTAGTTTTTCATTCTGAACATGTCTTGCTTGTGCCGCTCTAAAATAAAAAAATTAAATTACTTGGGACTAATCTCCAAACACTGTAATACATTCAAAAGCAATCGCCAAATCCCATCAAAATCTTGTAAGTCTCTTCACCACAGCAATCCTATTCCATTTATTAGTATTCTCAGTAAACGTGATGGAGTAGAAATCCACCTGCAACTTCTCCTCTGTAGACAGTGAAGCAATACGTACACACATTTTGTCTCAAGATCGGGGCTCCCAGGTACATATAGTCAGTCTGTAACTCCATTGTAAAGACACAGATCTTTACAAATAGGTTCATTTCCTACTGAAAACATAGATATATCAGGACTAGTTTGTATTATCCCTGTTTGCCATATTTGGCCTCAATCAACACATGAGCAAAATAAAACCAATTATCCTCAAAAATTCAAGACCATGTAGGAGAATCAAAACTGGAATTAACCTGTATGACAAGATTCATAGCAGCCTCTGAATTCAGGATGTGGCAATTTGTATGGCATGATTTGTTAAGTACATGAAATATCCATGGTCTGCATGGAAGCCTCACTTATGAACAAATTTCTGCATTAAACAGCAGAGTTTTCATAAAGCATAAGAGGCTTTAATATTTGTTATACCTAAAGAACCAGATGTTAAAGTCTGCACTATTGTTGCTATCAGATTGTTCTGAATTCTAGGCATAGAGGTAGAAATATATAAAGATGTAGTCAGCTTCAGGAAGCTGGAAATGAAATATTAACCTTGAATTGTTCATCTTTCAGGAACCATACAATGATCTCTTCATAGTCTCTATCTCAACTCTGCATAAATGTTCAGAGTCAAAATATGTATTAAGATAAACATCACCCTTAACACTCAAGAAAAAAAACCCCAATGGCTTACTGTATAAGAATTTCCAACTAGGGATTTATATATTGCTGAAGGCTGATACCAAATCCAGCTTTGAAAAGTAGGTATCAAATCCTAATTTATTAGAAATAAAATCCTGTATCTGGACCGATATCTGAATCTAATAACCAGAGTTTCTAAGTATTTAGGAAACCTGGGCTTCTAATTGATGATCCATGTCAAACAATATAATAACACTAATTAAAATAAAGGTGCTAATACATTAGAAATATTTGTAGTCTCCTGACTGCAAGCATTCAGAACTGAAACAGATATATGAAAAAAATATATATCCAGAAATGAGTAAGAAAAACAGACCTTGGCGAAGATGAGCTTCAACAGAGAGTCCATTAGAAAAAAGCAAAATTAGAAATTTGAAGACAGGAATAAAAACCATGGGAGAGCCTTCAGTTTAAGTTTATGTGTGCCAAAGTATCTTGGAGGAAGTCATGTCTGTAGTCTTTTCTCACCAATGGAAGCCAAGTATTAAGAATACTTCTTGCTTTTTTCATTGATCCCTCAAGGAGCGCAATAGGACTTGGGCCATCATATCATCTTCATCAGCATCATAATCCTAAATACAGAAGACATAAATATGCATCAGTGGAGCAATTTTGCCTAATCCAGGAACTAATCACAGCTGCTCGAAGGAGGTTTGACTGGATTAGCATGAAAGACAAACAAATAAACAAGTGCTTTACTTGAGCTTCTGCCATCAATTTATTATCTAAATAAAAATTTAGAAAGGCACAGGGTCTTTCTCACTAGCTACTTTTTATACTGGCTGAATTATGACAAGCCATATTTTTAAAAAGCAGTCTATTTTCAAATTGATAGAACAAGACTACTCAGAAGTTAAAAGGTATTTTGCTGCTTTAGGTTTTTGTGTAATAGACGAAGAGCCCAATTATAACTTACCACAAAAGTATCATATGAAAATTGATGGCGTCGCTGAAGATGTTCCATGAAGTTAGCACTTCTGTAGTGTGGATCTCCCCAGGGCATTGATACACAGATTGGACAAACCTGGAAAAGTTGGTATCTCATTGCCATGCATTCTAAACCATGTCCATCAGCAAGTAGACTACAGAAGTTCCCTAGATTAAAAGAGGTTCTGCCCTTGAAAGTAAAGCTAAATTCTCCCAATATTAACTCCATTTTTCCTCAGCATGTTGCATTATAGAAATCAAGATTTCTACAATGCTCCAATTCTTCTCCAGACCATCTGGCCACTCCACAGGAAGGGCAATTGGTATTTCCAGAAAACTAACAAACTATTCCTAAAATGGAGAAGCAGATATAATCCAAAAGAAAAAAAAAGAGTTTTCTAGACACCTCAGAAAGTTCCATCTCTGAATTGTAAGTTGTATACATTTCTAGTTCATTTTCATCAGGCACAAAGATACCATGAACTATCTTCTCTCATCTCATCAAATATCCCAAATAGGTATTTGGGTGGCGAATTCCCTAAATGTTTTTTGAAATAAAGTTCAACATATTTAGCAAATCATGTTGCTCCTCTGTGAACATATTTAGGGTTCTGAATTCATTTTTCAAGAATAAAAATTTTGCTCTGAGATTATTAATTCCCTGCTTGAAAGGCTTCAAATATTTGAATACTTTCTATATGAATTTTAAAAAAACAGCCTTATCATGAAAAAAGACTAAAACGTAACTCAAGAAAACCTCTGAGACAATAACACAATTTTCCCTAATGTACAATTTTTCCTAGAAAGCCAAGATCTGATTTTTGGCCTGTAAATGCCATGGCTGGTAATGTTATGCTAGAGAAAAGGCCCCCCTTTTTAAAATCTGTTCTTGGATGTATGGGTTTTTAAGGGTGAAAATGGGTGCCTTAAAAGGCTGCACACAGCAATTTTGTCACTTAACCCCACCATATCTTAAAATGTCAGCTTGAGTTGGGGGAGGATTAGAAGATTCTATGGAGCGACATGGCAACCATAAATCTCTGCAAAGTTTAAGGCATCTGTTTCACTTCTTAACAGTTTCCAAACCATTTTTTAGCCCCAACCAACTTTAGGGAGTGCAAATGGGATGCTGGGGGACTGAATGCAACCTATGGATTGTTCATCTCTGAATCAGACTATGAAAAAAACATTAATTACCACTCGCTTTGTATCATTGCTGTGAAAATTTTTGCAGTGTTCTACCAGTCCTTCTTGGTCCAGATTTTTTTCATTGCAATAAGGGCAAGGAAATGTAAATCTATTGGGAACACTCCTGCAGGAATACACAAAAAAGGCCTTTATGGTTTAGAAAAAAGTACATAAAGCAAAATATTAAAGAAGAATTCATGAATACATCAAAAGCTTTTTCCTTTGCTGTAAAAGATTACTGCTTCTTAGTTTGATCAAAGCAAAAGTTAACTTGTCTGAGAAAGAGGACTGATGGCAATTATGGTAAGAAGGGTGTCACAAACAGATTTATAGTTCTCCCAATCCCACCCCCAACCCCCATGGGAGCCTGATATAAAAAAAGCCTTAAAGTGAGCAATGGCTATATAAAATTTCTCAGGTTGCTCACAAAAGCAATTAACTCATACCTTACATAGCATTCTGGACTACGGGTGTTAAAAACTAGAGGTTCTTTTGAAGAACATTTTCAGAATTAAACCTGGTGATCTTATATAAACTTTCAGAGGGAAAAACAGCAAGTAGGCCATGAATTATAAGGTAGCAAGTTTTGGGGGAATGTCAGCTGCACAATCATCAAACCACTTCCCATCTTTTGTTGCTATTCAAATGAAGAGTGGTTGGCGGTAAGGGTTCAGATGAGAAAAAAAGAAGAAACAAATATCCCTTATTTACAGCAGATTTTTCTCTGTTTATCTTTGTTCAAGATAAATACCAGCACACAATTTAAACTTTTATGAATGGGCATGCTGTAATTTATCAAGATTACCTGATATTCTGTAGTGGTTCTTTAGTCACAGCTTTAACACCTTCCATTATGTAATTCTGGTACTTCGAACAAGCAGCTGCATGACTTCGCAGCTTTGAGAGATACATCTGTACAGAAAATGTAACAAAATATTCACTTTTCACCATATTTCTTAACTTAAACGTGAAATATATTCAGGGGACTGTATGGGAGGATTTGAGTAAGACACAATGGAAATTATAATGTATAATTGTAGAAGAGAATAACAGGCTAAATTAATATGTAACATGCCAGCAACGCTGAAAACTGACACCTTGTTCATTTGAGCACAGTCCTTTCTTATCTTTCATTTTCTGGAAGGCTATTATTATTATTATTATTATTATTATTATTATTATTATTACTACTACTACTACTACTTACTACTACTACTACTACTACTACTACTCTTATATGGCAAATTACATTTTTGATCTTCTATTAGGCAAAGAGCGGTCAACTAGCCAAAACATCAACTTATCTAATTTAAATTTTTCATGGTGACAGGTTCTCAATAATAATGCTGCACATTATAAGCAAATGTCCCAAAAGTTATGGTACATGTTTTAATATTCTTTAGATTTTCATTATTTCTGCTTGCTTTTAACATTTTTTAAATAATTGTGTGCTTAGTAAGCAGGAAACAATTAACTCCCAAATCTCATATTTCCCACTGAATTTTCCATAATTTGCTTTAAAAATATTTAAGCAAATTTTTGATGTACCAAAATTTTTCAATCAGGGAATATTTATTAATATTTACAAGTAAAAACTAAGACATTCACAGCATCTCAATTTATTTACAAATATTCAGTGCCATGGAGACTTATATTTATATGTTTAGAAATTGCCTTAAATAGACACTGAATCAATTACTGAAATCATATACAGCCAGATAAGCTATGAATTCCCACAAATTTCATAGATTAGGGTACAGTATATTAAGAGTACCCTTATTATTTCCTGAACTGAAAATTATTAACTGAGCTTTTAATTGCAAAACTCTTTTTACAACAGTTGCTTCATGAAATAAGGCAACTCAAAAGGTAATTCTACTCATGAAAGAACAGTAGCTCAAAACAGCCCCAAAATACCAACATCTAAGATATCAGCTGCTTTGGAGAGAAAAAACAACCCACAGCATCACAATTTGGAAAGGACTGTGCAAGTTCAAAGTTAGTAAGGAATCTGAAAATCAAGTCCTACAAAGTGCAGTTAAAGGAACTGGGAAGAGCCAGATGAGGTTATATACAACAGCAATATTCAGATATCTGAAAATTAGCTGACATCTATTGGTAGCAAAGTAATGGGCAGTCTCTGCTGTCAAGAAAGCAGGACCAGAATTATTGGATTAAAAAAAATCCAAGATGTTTGTTCATGCTACATGTGAGGAGAAACTTGACTGCATCAACTATTAGTGGAAAAAGCTGCCGTATTAAGTCTATTAACTTTCACTGAAGATTTTCAAATAGAAGCTGAATAGTCTTCTGTCAGAGATGCTATAGTGCAAGGGTGTCAAACTGCCAGCCCATGGGCCGGACGCATCACCAGGAAACCGCGCCCACCCCATTGCGGGCAATGGGGAAAAAGCTCCGATACGTTGCGCGACATCACGTGAATTCGCAAGTTTGACATGTCTGCTATAGTGGAGCCTGCACTAATTCAGGGTTTGGATGAAAGGTCTTCTAAGGTCATTTCCATAATTCTATGGTTCCTTAAAATATCATATCCACATACATTTTACATTAAGTAACTGAAAAAACATAGCTAAGGGCACATTAGACCAATACTTTCTACAAACATTTCCTTTCCTAAAGAAAAAGTGACATAAGGATTTGCATAAAATTTTCATCACTTTCACACTGATGTTGGCAAACACAACCACAACTGTCTATTGTGGCAAGGTCTGCTGATTCTATATTGGTTACCTAACTGATTGGTCTTATGACAAGGTCTGCAAATTTTTATTTCTAATGCATTTTATTTCCAATGCATTTCCAGTACAGGCAATGGAAGAAATTAAGTCCCCTTTTGGCATTTCCATCAAAGATTTGAATTGGCTCTTCCCTATCCCAGTCTTTTTTGAATTCTGTAAAAACAACAATTGCTTATCAAGACAGAGTATCACTATATTTATTTGCATCATTATTCATTCTATGTAGTAATAAATATAGGTCAGTTTTTCATACTTTTTGATTGCAGCCATTGCAAGTAGTCTCTGTCATTTCAATTTGCTTTTCCAAATCCAGAGCTCTGCTGCCATGAGCCAGGGTACTACGGCAAACTCCACAAACAGGCTTTTTAGGCTTAAGACATTCCTGAATGCATGGTGTGCAAAAGCTAACACAGAAAAATATACATATAAACTTTCATTGATTTAAAAATACAGGCATGTACTAATTCCCTTCCACTCCCCCAATAAAATAAAATAATTGATAAGCATATCTCAGCAATGTATCAATGCACTACGATGTAATCTTAAATGGGGAAAAACATCTTTTAACAAAATAGTAAATAAAATTACTATTTTAAGTATCCATAAAATTTGCTTACAGCTTAATGAGAGCAGTATACTTAACTGTGCACTTCAAAGATGAAATCTTGTTACAATAGTATTATACAACAGCAAGAACTGGATCCTGTTTTTTTAGCAGGATGCTGAGCTATTTAAACAAAATAGCTCAGCATAAAATTTATTAAGAATGCATATATCTAATAGGGTTTGAAGTAGAAACTTCCATGCTTGGTACTGCAATAGAGGTTATCTTCTAATCCATCCAGCAACCAGGTTCAGAGACAATTACAAAGTCATAAATGTTAAAACATTGCAAATGAATATAATTAACCAGGTAAGGAAAGATAAAATAGATACACGCTCAATCCCTGTATACCTAAAATCAAATTAGAGCAGAGAGAAGAGAATGTTAAACTCCTGAAGTACCGGCTGTTATATCATTTGGATGCAATTTAGAAATTACCAACAAAGATAAAAATGATCTTAGCTGTTGTTGCAGTTAAGCAAAGTTCTGAGCACAATATTAATGTATAGCTGATAATATTTGGTAATATGCAGCGTTCAAGAAAGAGTTGTGAAGGCCTGGAACAAGATGTAGTTTCCAACCCCTCACATGAAATTTTTTATGACCATGGCCATACTGTACAATTAACAAAAAAAGCTGCATACAGGAGAAAGAAAAAACAATACCTCATCTCAACTGGCAGCTGGTCATTTCCATAGCTGTAAAAATAGATGCCATTTCTTCGAAAGATTCAGATATTATCATCTCAGAAATATACAAGGATGAACTATTTGTCTTGTCAGTTCCTAAATGCTTCAAATATCCTAATATAGGCTGTGCGTATCAATTCTGTCTTAATGACCAAAATATGCTTAGATAAAATATGATAAATCCAAAACTAGTACTACTTATTTTTCTTCATTTCTACCACAGTGCTACTATATTAGGCCATTCAAATTCCAAGGCTTCACTACAAACAAGAATTAATTACATAGCAAAAGTGTTTGCTGAATTCATCAAGAATTTTTAAATAGATTCTATTCAATCACTATT